GAACCGCATTTTCCAGCTTTTGTATGATCCCTGATGATCCCCGGCGCTATTCTTCAAAGTCATTTTTCTTTCTCCGAAGTTAACGAAAACATACCAAAGTTGTACTGAACATCTAACACAACAGTGCTAATCATGTTGCTGATGAGAACAAATGAGTTTTTGAAAAATCGAATTTTTCGGTAAACCTCAAATTTCGACCTGTGGATCAATGGAAATTTCATGATCCGAAACATCATTTGATCTTATCAGCAACATGCTTAGCACAGTCGGGTTAGATAATCCGCACAACTTTAAAAGATTTCGTTAACTTCGGAGAAAGAAAAATGACTTCAAAGAAAAGCGCCGGGGATCATCAGGGATCATACAAAAGCTGGAAAATGCGGTTCGTACAGCTTCTCGCTCCTGTTCAACATGTTCATAGTGAAGGGTAGTAGGAATACTTACGGATAGGTACACAACGTGAAATCCAGGTATCTGGAGTTTCGAAATATAAAGCTTTCTTTTAAGCTGCGATCCCCTCCCCGCGGGGAGGTTAGTGCATGCGGCCCATAAAGTGGTGGTTCAGAGCCGATCATCCTGCCGTTATCAGCCGTCCAGACTGTCGTGTTCAAACACAAGCTTTGAATAACTGCTTAATCGGGGGCGAAGTTACAATAAGAATGATCATTATCCAAAAAGAGCAATGAGTAAAGCATACGTAAACAAAAATTGAAACTTCATAAACACATTTCTACACTACAGCAACGTCTGCTGGTCTCTCTTGATCGCGATCCGCGATATGCCCAATGCTGTATCGTGTATTTTAAAGACTTGGGACCGCCAGATATTTGGATTTGATGACACTCTCGTCACCCATTGCTGCGCTGATATGTTTGGTAGGCTCATTTGTTTTACTGCAGCGGTGCTGCTCAAAGTTTAACATACTTGAACTGATGTGCTATAATTTTAGGCTATAAAAATAACGCCATTTGACAGTGCTCATCTATACACCTCGATCAAAAGGATTTGTTATATACTAACATCTGCTGGAACTTGGACTTCCAATTAGGTTTTCGTTTGAGAAATCTACATTATTCTCTAGGTCTCCCCTAGTTTTGGATCACCCTAACAATTTTAGCGTTAACTTTGCATCAAATGAGCGTTCAGGAGTACGAAATATCAAATCTCAAATATTCCGGCTACGGTTTGGAGCATCATCAAAAACATGAATTCTGTTTATTTCATTCCCAGGGCTTTATACAGGGTGCGCGCCAAAATTTACTGCGCGTTCCCTTGGGACCCAGAAAACTAGACGGGCTAGACGGCTTGAAGACGGATCAAGTATGCGTTTTTTTTCACCAATCATCATTATCATAATGCAATAGTCAGATCAGATTTTGGCTGCTTTATCTTTCGAAAGAATTTAGTTCCTCTCGCCAACTGAAATGTTCTCTGTGGGCAAGCACAACTTTAAAAATTCATATAATATCCTTTTGGCTTGATGGCCTCTTCTTTTTTTCCTTGCATTCGTTACTCGGGGTCTGCCGCTCTTGTTAATCTTCCCCATTCTTCTCGGTTCAAGGCCTGCTCTTCACTTATACCAAGCTCTTTCAGATCTGCTTCGACTTTATCCAGCCATCTCATCTTAGGTCTTCCTCTTGGTCTCTTCCCTCTCAGATAATCGCCGGGGGCAGGCGGCCATGCGATTTATGGGCGGGCGTGCACCGGAAAAAAGTTCGTTGATTTTTTGCGGTCCACTTGCTGAAATTTGGAAGAATTTTAGCGAAATTTTAGACGAATGCTTGGAGAACAATTGCGGTTTCCTTATAGATTGGCTGCGGCGCAGTGGCCGTATGTTCGCGGACTTTCCGCGAGAATATGCAAAATTTTCGGGGGCCGTACGGACCTTTGTGCAGGACCGCGCAGCCCTCAGATACTTTCCGCTGAGAGAAAGTACCTCAAACTTGAGTAAAAGAAGAATGATACTTGCCGCATACTAGCGGAGGACCAAAACTCAAAATCGGCTTTTCAAGTGAATTTTTGTTTTTATCTTTATCTTTTACACTCAAGGTGTACCATTTAAACAATGAAATACTGCTAGTGTAAGGCCAGTCGTTCTAAGCATTCAGAGAACAAAAAAAATGCTCGTATTTTGACAACGTACGAGCAAAAGAAATCACTCATAAGTGATGTATCCATCACAAGCGGAAAAAGGCACAACCAAATGCGATTAACTCATATGCCTTATATGTGAGTTGGGATGCCAGGTGAATAGCAGTAGGGACTTTTATCGCTCTAGGAAAATCGAAACTTATAATGATCTAAAGAGCATCAAACGCTGATACCAAAACTCTCTTTGACTTCTTTGACTCTCTTTGACTCTTTGACCAAACGCCCCTAGATGCTGAGCTAAGAGCGTTTTGAAGCGAAAAATGATATTAAATTAGGAAAATTAATATGCTTCTTCTAGCCCTCATATAAAGAAGTAGTAAGAACGGTGTTTCAGACATAAGTTTTCATCATGTAAGGAATGCTCTGATACCCAAAGCTGGGCCGCGCGCAATCTGGGACGGGCGCGTTCAATTGATTGAGCCAAAAAACGCTTTCGTCTAAAGGCGCTTGGCAAAAAAAAACAATGAATCGGGGTTTGGCGCTTTTCAGATTGGTGATGTATTCTATTTGAAAGTCGATTTTGACTTTGAGTCCCCCCTCGCCAGAAGCGTCGAAATGTGTTGGCGAGAAGACGGATTGGGACAGAGGCAGAAAAATTTTGTCTAAAAGTGAAACGGGTGGTGAGTTTGATCTATTGAGCTGGCAGGGACCCAGTGAAGTTGGGTATCCCAGCTAGTGTCGGTCAGTATAAAACAGGAATAAACCTTGTATACACGTTTTCCAGTCACGGAATCTATATATAAATAAAACTCAAAACTCTGTAAATTTGTTAGTTAGCATGTATGCGGCTTGAAGACTCCCTTGTGCGCGGACCTGAGGCCACGGCGCAAAAGATAGGCTACTTTTCGTGAGATGCTGAACCTTTCAATAGATTCATTGGTTTGTTTATTTACACGTAAGAGGTGGCCTATAAGGCCACCTCTTGTTTTGAAGCAGTACGGCATTCTTTGAACCTAGAATTTTTTGTACAGTTATAGCAATGGAATATGAAACGTTTATTATACATGGGAGCTTTGCCTTTCAAAAAGCAAATTTAGACTGCCTGCTTCAAAACGCATAAAAAATCACATTATCTCAAAAAAACTGCTAGTTCAATGAGTTTTGAAGCACTTATTCGACTCGGATGAAGGTATCAGGATTTGTTGAGCCTTTTCAATAATTGCGGTGAAGAGCGCCTGAGTCAACTTTGCGTAGTCGCTGATATTGATGTAAGAGCCTCAACCCCACCCTCAGATAGACGAGTCTTAGAAACACAGAATTCCAATTCTGATGTTCGAAAAGCTTGGTCGTGTGCTCAATACGTCGTCTGTTCAACGACAAAATTGTGCGCATTGCAAAAACATCATAGCAACTTCAGGAATCAAGATTTCGCCAAGAGCGCTGTTCCACCAAGAATGGATAATGCCCACTGTGTAAACAAGACCCACTCTGAACCATTCGATCGGACGGAAAACTGCTCAAAACTTCAAAATTTTAGTGATTTTAACAGTTTCGTAAGAGCTGGCTTGATGAGGAGTTAGAATGAGTAAAATTTGGAGTCGTGTTGAATTCCCTGCGCACAACAGAACTGCAGATGGAGCATTTTGACTTCAACGTTGCGAGTGCGTCTTTGCCAACTGACAACTTCTGCATAGGTACGTCGTCACGCAAGCAGAGTGTTCAACTTTTGATCGGAAGTTTTCGCTAGTCAGAATCGAGTTTTGTGGCTCAAAGCGTGCTTACAATCATGATAAGGTTGATTTTCGTTCATCAATAACAGCGACTACGCAAAGTTGACTCAAGCGCTCTTCACCGCGTTCATTGCAAAAGCACAGTAAATCCTAATACCTTCATCCGAGTTGAATAATTGCTTGAAAACTCAGTGCACTAGCAGTCTTTCAATATAATGTGACTTTTTGAGCATTTTAGAGCAAGAAAAAAGCAGTATAGATTTTCTTTCTAAAGGGAGACAGCTCCCAGGTGTAACAAATGTTTCATATTTTGATGCTGTAATTGTACAAAAAGTTCTAGGTTTGAAGAATTTAGTATTACTTGGAAACAAGAGGTGGCCTTATAGCTGTGACTAAGCCTTCGGAACAGGTTTTTCAAATTTTTCGATTTTTTCCGGGCAAAATCAATGAAACTGGGAGCCGTTCTAGAAAACGACATAGCGTTGATCTACACATAGGACAGTGGTTTTTCACAGGGCAAATTACCGTGATTTTTTAGGGTGGGTTTATAGCACCAGCTTTGTATGGAATAGCGATGGAAAATTCTGGCATTTGAAAAAACTGGTGCTTTCTGCATGGGAAAGATAGCATTCATACTGAGATTAAAATTCAAAAACGCTTACGCATCTTCATCTTCTCTTATGAACTCCAAGTATAGATTATCGAAAACCCCTTAAGGCACAAACCGGACTTTTTAAAACACTTGCAAAACTTAACATAAAAGCGGGAGTGGTAGTAATTTGGTCGAAACCATCAAATGATGTGATGGTTTAATCATGGTTACATCGTGGTAAGCATGATCATCTTTTCACGGCCACTCAGTTCAGTCGGTCATACAAAATTATGAAACAAGCAAGTAACTAGCAGAAAACCATGAGTGTTTCATGCTTGTTTCATTCTAAACCAAACTATGAGTTAAACAGCAGGTTAACACCATTGTTCCCTTATCAGATAGAGTAATGAAAACAGCACTTTATTTCATGAGACGCAGACGTGAAACCACCACATCATAGTTTAAAATGAAAAAGTACCCCCGACCACTTTTTCGTTTTAAACAATGATGTGATGGTTTCAACGTATTAACGCGTATAGCACTAAAGTAAGGTCAAATAATCATTCTATTGTGCTATTGACGCCGGAATGGACGTAACACACAGTGGGTTACGATTTTTTGAATTACAATTGACTCAAGGGGCGACATTTATCAATCTCCGACTCGATCTTCGGGCCATTATTAACGAGTGCCCAAACGAAACTGAGGACGCCAATCCGGTGAGCATTAAACTTTAAAATGTGGTCCGATGGCAAGTTTGGCCATATCGGGCATGCCCTCAAACCACAGGTGCGATAATGTGAGAATTTTCTCACCCTCTCTTCACCCATGAGGAGGGACCAAGGTGACCCCTTTCACCAAAAGCCGAGAAAAAAATCAACAGTGAGGTAAGGTTGAGCAAAGAAGATATTTGTACGTAAATTTTTTATGTATAGGAAAGGAGGAGTCTATTAAAAAAACTGCTTAATGACGGGTATGAGTAGTGATTTCTGGACATTTTCGAGTTTTTGACATAAAAAAATTCATAACTTTTGTAGATGAACATCTTTCACGGCGAGATAGTCACCTTTAGAACCGCCTCATCCTCCTTTTTTTGGACGAAATACAGTGTGTCTCAGATCGATCCAAAAAACTGCCTGGTTGAAGAGTGTGCTCAGTGATTTTTGGAGATCGAGTTTAACATAAAAAATTCATAACTTCTGTAGATGAAGACCTTGTACGCCTTGATGGTAACCACTGGAACCATCTCGTCCTCCGCTTTCTGAAAATATGTACCTTGCCTGGGGACATTTAGAAAAAGTGTTGGGTGAGGGGTGGGTGAGTATAATGGGTGTGCTGAAGTAGACGCCTTTTTACAATGGTAAAAAAGCCTGTACTTGAGCTCGCTTAAGATTCTATAATTTCTCTACCAAGTGAAACATCCTTCACCCTGGAGGGGCTGCGACTACTGTGACCTCCTTCACCCTGGAGGAGTCATTCTCACCTTATCGCATCTGTGCCTCGGGCGACGCAGCGCGAGTTTCGAGATCTGGTTCTGCTGCCCGAAGGCGGTGCTCGACATGGCCAAACTTGCCATCTGACCATATCCCCCAGTAGACAGAACCCTAATCCCCAGCTTGACTTCGAGTATCGAGGGCTCCAATGCCCGCTCCTGTACGGCCTGTTACCTGTACAGCGACCCCTTTCAATATAAGAGATTGATAAATACCGCCCAAGAATTCATATGAGGCCAGAGGCAGGCGGCTCAAAGCTCTCTGACAGCGAGGAATCTTGTTCAGAAGTAAAATAACCTCGAAATTGAATTTTCAACGTGCCATGAGCTGATTAACTGCCACTGCGTCCTAGCAGGTCTCCAATCTGTCGTGAGCACAAAATTGAGTTAGCTGATAGTGACTAATCATATAATAACTGCCAAGAGCAAGTCATTGGATGCTTAGTTCGAACGTGCCATTCAGATCGCAGCGTAATCAGTGATAAGAGAACTACTCCTTTGAAAGGCAAGGCCTCAGATTTCATCGTCAATATGGTGCTCAAGAATGAGCGTATTCTTCTTCGGGGTCAGAGTGACCGCTTCTTAAGTGCAAATGAGCACAGGAAAGATGTTTGGAAAACAATTTCAAAGAAGCTTTTCGAAAAATTCGACGTCGCACTGACCCCCAAACAAGTGCAACAGCACTTTAATAATAGGAAAAGAAAGGCGTTATCGCTTGAAATTAGAGAAAAAAAAAGTAAGTTCAAGCACTCTAACTTCCTGTACAAAACAAGCACATGACAGGTACCGCAAAAAACAGGCGGAGGAAGAGAACTTGAAGAGGAAGCTATTTTTAAGGAAGAAAATGTTTCAAAGACAGAGTTTGAGTTGAAAAGCTATTACAACCAAAGAACAACGGCTCGGGGTCTTCCAAACGCGGACACATTGAGAGTGAATGAGGTATGCATTGCACATATGGCACAATTGAAGTATCGCATTGCAGTGGCATGGAAAAGAGAAGGGGAAAAAAGACGAATTGCTTGTGGGCCACTCAGAACAACGCAATCATGTCAAAAAAGGGTTCGTTTGTCTCAGTACGATTTTGATTTAGTTCATAATCATTTTGGTATTTGGTAGGAAAGGATGGCTGGTGGATCTCGAAGTAATGAATCTTCCGCCTGCACAAGTTTGGAAAGTTTCAATGTAATGACTTGAATGCCTACTCTAATTTAGTTCAAGATACGAATTTAGCAAATAGATGCTTTGGTTGATTCGGACGTATCAGACGAAGAGTTGGGGGAGTCTGAAAGTTGCGTGAATGAGAAATCTAACAAAACTTTTGAATGTTTCCAAAACTCCCTAAACGAAAAACTCGACAAAGCTCTGCAATATTTCCGAACAATGCTTCAGGTAAAGTTGTAGGCTCTGACTGCAACTGGTCATCAAAAAATATTCACAGGAACAAACAAGGATGTGCGAAGCAGTTATTCAAATGGCCGAATTGCAAAAGAGGGGTCTGGAGAGCATCTTAGGGCCGCATGCACTAACCTCCCCGCTGGGGAGGGGATTGCAGCTTAAAAGAAAGCTTTATATTTCGAAACTCCAGATACCTGGATTTCACATTGTGTACCTATCCGTAAGTATTCCTACTACCCTTCACTATGAACATGTTGAACAGGAGCGAGAAGCTGTACGAATCGCATTTTCCAGCTTTTGTACGATCCCTGATGATCCCCGGCGCTTTTCTTTAAAGTCATTTTTCTTTCTCCGAAGTTAACGAAAACCTTCCAAAGTTGTACTGGACATCTAACACAACAGTGCTAAGCATGTTGCTGATGAGAACAAATGAGTTTTTAAAAAGTCAAATTTTTCGCTAAACCTCAAATTTCGACCTGTGGATCATCGAAAATTTCATGACTTCAAAACATCATTTGTTCTAATCAGCAACATGCTTAACACTGTCGGTTTAGATAATCTGCACAACTTTGGAAGGTTTTCGTTGACTCCGGAGAAAGAAAAATGGCTTTGAAGAAAAGCGCCGGGGATCATCAGGGATCATACTAAAGCTGGAAAATGCGGTTCGTACACCCTCTCGCTCCTCTTCAACATGTTCATAGCGAAGAGTAGTAGGAATACTTACGGATAGGTACACAACGTGAAATCCAGGTATCTGGAGTTTCGAAATATAAAGCTTTCTTTTGAGCAGCGATCCCCTCCCCGCGGGGATGTTAGTGCATGCGGCCCTTAGAATGTAATAAGCCAAAGGGTTCGTTTTTCAGTAAGTGCACCAAGTTTGAATCATCAAATTGAACCTTTTAAGCAAACTCCAAAAAGGAAACGACAACTGTAGAAGAAGAGAACTTTGAATGAAAGAATGTTTATTAAAAGACATTTAATACATAGTGTTTATCGTTTGTTGACCATTTCAAAATAAAGTTGTTTCTTCAAAGCAATCTCATAACATATTCACGAACGTCCCGGGTGTTGGCTGGCGGATGTGGCATGGTAGCCAACGTGTGCCCAAGACGTGGCCACTTTGTGGCCCCTACACAATAACCCATGTTGTGCAGCACTGCACAAGCAATGACTATCTTGGATGCGAATTCCGGTGAGACTCGCATTCCGGTGCACAGTATTGTAAAGCGCCTTTTCCATCTCCCTATAGTCCTCTCCACCACGGCGCGTACACGGCGATGTTCGCGGTTGTAACGCATTTTCAATAAATCACCTCTAACACTTGTTGGGCGGTAGGGCGCCATGATGCCGTTTCCATTTGCATACCCGGAATCTCCAAGAAGCGCATAGCTTGCGCATGTCTCACCAGAATTGAACTGTTGGCCAAGAGCGCATCGCCTCCAAACAGTCGCATCATGTACAGAGCCTGGGAAGCCACTGTTAACGTAGAGAATACGGCCAATTGCATCTACAGCTACGCAGACGTTTAAGGCGGTGAATCCCTTCCTGCTCATGTATACGTAGCCATCTCCGGGAGGACTCTGGATTGGCACTAGAGTTCCGTCGATGCAGCCAATTACATCTTAATCTTATATATAAAGCTGAATGTCTGTTTGTATGTCTGTCTGTCTGTCTGTCTGTATGTGTGTACGTATGTTCCGAATAGAAAATTCCATTTCTGAACCGATCCGGACCAAACTTGGCACACATACACTTCGGGCCCCGGCGGGTGTCATAGGCTACTTTTCGTCATCGATCGATATCGATTTTATCGATTTTTATCGATTTTTTTGCAAAGTTTGAGCTACGGGGCTGGGAGTTGGCACAGGGGGGTAATCGAGCATGCTGATCACCCCCAGGGGGGTGATCAGCATGCTCGATTACACTCCTGTGCCAAATTCCAGCCCCCTAGCTCAAATTTTCAAAAAATCGATAAAATCGAAAAAGTAATGGACGATCCTGAAAACTAATATTGTGTTCGTAATCTGCATGCTCGATTACCCCCCTGTGCAAACTCCCAGCCCCGCAGGTCAAACTTTACAAAAAAATCGATAAAATCGATAAAAGTAATGGACGATCCTGAAAACTAATGTTGTATTCGTATCCCCATGCTCGATTACCCCCCTGTGCCAACTCCTAGCCCTGTAGGTGAACTCTGCAAAAAATCGATAAAAATCGGTAAAATCGACATCGATCGATAACGAAAAGTGGACTGTGACACCCGCCGGGGCCCGAAGTGTATGTGTGCCAAGTTTGGTCCGGATACGGCGGAGCCAGGTAAGCCAGCTAGTAAGTTATATTTCTCTTGTAATGCACTGAAAGTCCACTCACTGCTAAATTTTCCGAGCCTGGCGTATTCGCTAGCCCTATTTCTGCACCAGAGTGTATCCCACGGCTTACAAACGATGAACTGTGACACTATTTCTGGATGATTTAGCGCCATAACCACCCTATGCACCACATTTGAAATTGTTTTTTGGCAGCACTTCAGAGTGTCACCAAGAATAATTTGGTGCGAGTTCGTTGCAAGATATCTAACACCTATGGCCACCTAAAAGCTTTCCTCTGGAAGTGCAGCAAAAAGTTGCCAATCGTGAAGGCCATAGCAGACTCTACCTGCTGTTTCTTTGAGATAGCCCAAGATCTGCTAGAGTCATACGCTAGTTTCGATGACAAAAGCGTCGTGAGCCATAATAGCTCTTTTTCAGTAAAGCGAAATCTAAAGCGTATGAACGCTCTGTTACTTGAAAAGACCTCGCACGGATCACTGCGAACGTATTCAATATTCCTATGGCGCCTACGAGGCACATCGTCCGCGCTGACATCTGCAATATGTCTCCAGCAGTACTTCCTAACAACGCATCCTAATTTGATAACGCACCACTATCTCCTGGGCCTGTAGTAAACCCCCCGTATGTGCTGACGTATAGCTCGGAGTCTGCTGTGACATGTGCTGACTACCATGGAGCGAGGCAGGCAAGGCGGCTATCCTTTATCATTGCCGGCGGTCGCAATCAATGCGAAGCGCCAGGGTAGTCCCACTTTGTCGCTATATGTCGCGACATATCGCGACATATAACGACATATTGCGACATGTCGTGACGGACGAGACGGCGAAATACTTTGTCCATCATGGAGACGCAGAGACATAGCGCAAGACTAGAGCTCGACTACGCCAACCTCGCAATAGGTCGCACATGCACATGGTTCTCTGTAACGCACGTCAATTGCAATCAATATCAACAGCTGATAAGCGCCCAACAGCGCCGAGCAATGTGCCTTCCTACATTTTCGAAATATTTCCTAAGTTGCACGCTCTGGTGTTCAAAAAAGGTGAGTTTCTTTTGACTAAAAGATGTATTAGATTCATATTTGGTCACATTTTATAATGGTTGCTGTTGTTCTTATTTATTCTCACGATGCATCTCATTTGCGCACCAAATATCCTGCTTATGCCAAAACTCCTCAATGTTTTCCATCTCAGCACTTTCTTCACTTGCTGGTTTGCCATTCCTTAGCTGTGAGCCTCTTGTTTCCCTTCTGTGCTTAAGTGAAGGGACCATCTGGCACTATGGCTGCTGGAATAGCTCATATTTGCCCAGACTAAAGTGATAATTGTTTTATATACTGCTTTTTCCTGTGCATTCTCGATTTGATGTGTTTTGCATACAATTTTCTTTTTACTGCCAGAAAATTGTCAAATTTAGGCTCAAAAATATGAAAATTTGAAGATCCACCACTTGCAAAAAGTTGCTCGAGGCAGGACTTGTACCCCGACATCAACCACACTGACACCCGACACTGACGCTGCGCTATCTGCACTGCTAATCAAAATTGGCTTGCGTGTGCAATATCACGGTAGTTGTGCAGGCGGTTACTACTTCTACAATACTAATATCCACTAGGCACACTGTGTGGAGTATTACACGCCGTTTCGGTCATAATAAGTTACCTACGCTGCTCTGCCTGCTCCAGGCCCTTCCCATTCTGGTACAACTTCAAAATTGCCTATCCATAGCGCAGTTGCTGTGGGCGCTGCTGTTGCGATTATCACTGGTTCGATCACGCGTTTATGCATTAGTTTTGCGGCGCCCTGCGGATAGCTCGCTATAGTCTTGCGAGATACTCCGA